AAAAATTGTGAACACTGGAATTTGACACAACACTGTAAAATGATTATGAATCAATAAAAAATGTAAAAAAAAGAGATTATACTGTATAGCACAGGGAAATATACACAAAATGTTATGGTAGCTCACAGAGAAAAAAATGTGACAGTGAGTATGTATATGTCCATGTATGACTGAAAAATTGTGCTGAACACTGGAATTTGACACAACACTGTAAAATGACTATAAATCAATAAAAAATGTTTTTTTAAAAAAAAGCCTTCATTTAAAAAAAAGATCTTCAGGGAGGGTATAGCTCAGTGGTAGAGTGCATGTTTAGCATGTATGAGGGTCCTGGGTTCAATCCCCCAGTATCTCAATTAAAGTAAGTAAATAAAACCCTAATCTGCTGCCCTACAAAATATTAAATAAATAAGTAACTTAAAAAAAAAGAAAAAGATCTTCATATCTTCAAAAAATTGTGACTCAAAACAAATTCAAAAGAAAAATTAGTGACCTAATGAACCAACCTATATTTGGCAGGAATTCAAAGAATCTGCCACTTTGGGACCTAACTGAACTGAGTATCTGTTTATTCTAGTGAGAAAAAAACAAAAAACAATCGGTATCAATTTAATCTCAATAAATGTCCAACTACAAAATCAAACCAACACACTTTACTAAACCAAATCTTTGTAACAGCAAAACTAAATATAACTGCATCCACGTAAGGGTATGTAGTTTCCTTAAATACCACTGAGTTCATATTTAGTTGGCCCATCTCTAGGGTAAATGCATACAGAATATCTAGAAATAACCAGTTAATACTCCCATTTTAAAAGGCCTGTATTGCTCCATAATAGAAAGAAACCACCAGTGAAACACCTTATGAAAGAACTTGTCCCAGAATTTTTCAAGGTTTCAAAGAATATAACAACCAGGTATCCTCTCAGGCTCACACAACCACCAGCACAAAATGGTTCGTAAAGATTTTCCAAGTATAATGGTCTCTGAAAGGCAGATGGCACAGAAAATATCAAAAACACCCAACTCCCCTTGCAGAATTTAACTTATGATTAACCACATGTCTTAAGACACTAAATATTTCTTTTTTGTCCTAACTTTCCTAAAAACATCCAGCTCCCTGATTAGCTCATATTTACTTCCAAAGAGCATTACTGGAGAAAAGTGAAGCCAAGTAATTTTATCTGCCAGGATTTCTACTCTTAAACTCCCATAAGGCAATTCTACCATTTACTCCCATTTTTTTAAAGGGAGAAAAATTTTCAATTACATCTGTTTATTTTACTAAATGTCTTACTGTCTGCAGATACAGGTTATGGAAACTAGTTAATTTGCTTAGAAGTCACATAAATAGCTTTGATATTCATCTATAAGGCTGCGATTCTTCCAGGGAGAATACGGTAATTACCTCATCCCTACTATCTGATATGCTATGCTATGTCTTCCCTGCAGTTGCAAATCACTGCCTAAATGAGCTGCTGTTAAAAATGAGAATATGCATGTACATTAGGTGAGTGCATGCAAGCATGGGGTATTGATTTCTGTTAGGGGAGACAGAGAAGGAAAGCTGAAAACTGCTGTTCTCAAAAACAGAGGTGCTTGTAACATCATTTGTAAACATAATTCATCAAACAAAAAACATTAAGGATTTAAATTAGTTATGCCACACAGCAAATTTTTCTTTAAGACACAAATAAACCATATTCTAAGAAAGTTATTAACATGAAGCTTGAAAAATATCTCGCTCCTTTTTAACACGGGCTTTGGGATATGAAAAGGACAGACTCCCAAGAGTCTAGTCCCTACAATGCTAATTGTACCTGCCACTGTAGTTTATCTAAATTATTTCCTAGTTACCTTTCAGCACCCACTATTCCTTCTAAGAGAACAAATTAGTTTGACACTCCATCTTTTTAGGCTCCTCCAAAATACTGTTCTTACCCAATTTAAGCAAAGTAGAACTATCAAGTGAGCTCCCTGATAAAGAGGCATATGATACATAAAACAGAGAGAACATAAGATCAAAGAAAAAAATTTAAAAAAAACTCTAAAGAGAAAATACAACAACATTTTTAGGCAACACCCATCCCCCTATATTCTTCGAACAAAAAGCAGGAGGTCAATTATACTTGTCTACAGAAAAAGAAATGCTTCTAAGTTGGAAAAGTGAACATTCCTTCTAAACTTAAACCATACCATTTCCAAAGACCCAGAATTAAAGTCTGATATCAGCTGCTTATCCATTGTTATTCTCAACTAAGCTCTGGAATTTAATATCACAATAACTTCCAAAATTCACCCTTACTACAATAGCCAGTAAATGTATATTAAAATAACCAGTAAGAATCTTCATATAGGAAAACAAATGAGTTACCTTTAGTGTGATATACAATAGCAGCCCTCAGGTCAAAAGAACCCCAGCTATCATTCCTTTCTAGGCCTCTCTGGTATCTCTGTTCTTTGGCGGAGCCTAATAAAGTGTTCGTAGGAGACGCCAGAGGATTTTGATTTTCTATCTCATAGTCCTTTGAGAGAAACACTAAAGCACCTTGACTACTGGTGTCTGCTTTCTGCAGGTCACCTATATGACTGGGTTCCAAGGATAAGGCTCCACTCTCACTAGTAGTCCCAGATTTTAGAATGCTACCCAGAACTTGAGGACTAGTCCGTTTTTCCAGCTCATAAGCCTTGGGAAACACAGGATGCTCAGTTCCTGAGGGGATTATTTCAGCACCCTGTGAAACCAAAGTGGCAGGATATTCCCCTTGAAATGTCACCTCCATCACTTTATGATCTGATGATTTCCCATAACAGTCTCAGGGCCAGCACTGGGTTCATTGATAAATGATAAACCCCACTGATTCTGGAAAATATCCCCCAGGTTTTGCTGATCTGTTTGAGAGGGTAGATCCACTTGTGCTGTGCTCAACAGCACAGTTTGCATATTTGAAGGGTAGATAAAAAGGCTGGACTTTATTTGTTCAACAGCTGCTGAAGTCAGATTCATGTCTTGGAGAACTGAATCAGTCCCAGAAGAGATGGGTGTTAAAGTACTAGCAGCAGTAGTTAGCAGTGGCTGACCCCCTGGAGAATACACACTTGCATCAGTCCCTGCTAAAACTGGCCCATTAGAAAAGTTGGCCGAAGTAACAGATTTCAGCGCTGACATAGGGACCTGGGATAACCGACTTGAAGACTGGGTCTGAGTTTCCCCAGTAGATGAAGAAGAGGATGAAGACGAAGATGGTGACACGGAAGAGTTCTGTACAGTTTTGTTGAGGTTTTCCTTAACTTTGCTTGCATAACTTATTTTAGGAACTATTTTAGCACTGCTATTGTCCACTGGAAAAACTGGGGGTGGTTTAAATAGGGTCCACGAATCCTCTTTGGAGGCAACAGAAGTATGCTTTCCTTTGGGCCGGTCATCAAACTTCTTGTTGCTTACACCAGGTTTAACATCAGAGCTTTTCCTCAACGTATCACCCACAGCAGGTTTTCCTCGACTTGTTCCTCCAGGCCCAGTTTCATACTTCCAGATGGGCTTTGAACCATCTACTCGATTTCCCTTTTGTTCACTGTAGTCAGGCTTGAAAGTTTCAAGTCCCTGTTTTAAGGTTGGGACATTGGTCTCTTGTTGCATTATTTTGTCCTGCACTAAATTAAGGTTTTCACAACCCTTGGCACTATTGCGCCTAGCTTTCCTTTTTTTAGGAGTGGTATATCCGCTCTCAGATCCACTACCATCATTATCTGCTCCTTTGCCCATATAACCATTAGTAATATAGCCAGAATTACTTGTTACAACACCATTTGGAATTGCTACAGTATCAGTCTTGTCTACAGATTGGTTCTCTCCAGATTTATTTTCGTAAGACTTCCCATTCTTTTTGTCCATACTGTTTTTCTGAACGAAATTCCTGGTTTTAATTCCTGCTTTCCCAAAGGTGCTGGACTTTACAGTCTGCTTCAGATTAGTGTCTACCACTTGTTGGTTGCCATTGAGGACCCTGGAAATAGGGTTGGTAGCTTCATCAGAACCCAGGCTCTTTAAAGATATTTCTCTTTCTCCAGCATTACCATTTAGTTCACCATAGCCTAGAGAGGAGAAAAAAAAAGTTTAAAAAAATTACAATATGTAAATTATAGTACCTAACATTTAAGGACTATTTATTTACTGTATGCTAGACACTATTCTGTGAGCTTCAGCTTTTTATGTTATTATTTCATAACTCTATGAGATAACACTTGTCAGCCCCATTTTACAGATTAGGAAGTTTACTAAGCAAGAGACAGAAATGAGCTGAGAATCAAACCATAGTCCAAGGTCAGAAAGAACATGACCTCTTAATAATACCTCTCATCTAACAGGATCAACCTCCCCATCATTCTCATCTTACAAAATTTCCTTTACAATTAAAAGCAGAGCTACCCTCTGGGCAAAAATCAAGTTATATTGATAGAGTAAATCTTAGTACTACAGGAAAATTAAAGATTCCACATCTGTGAAACCATAAATGGCTGGTGGTCACCCTAAGTAGTTTCTCTTGCACTCTGTCAAATAAAAATCTAACACTTGTGAAGTTTTTCAAAAGTAGTCTTAAATTCCATTGACATTTCCCAGACATTAGAGCATACTGATATTGTATGAAACCAAAACACCTACGTATTAACTCTTATATATTTTCTTTATTTTACATTTGGGTAAACAGACTCTCAGGGAAATTAAGTAGCTTGCCCAAGTCACAAAGTACAAGACCTGGAAAGTTGAATTTCAGTCTGTCTGGAACATCATTTCCTATCACTATGTCATACTGCCTAACCAAATAATTCAGTAAGAAAATACTAAAAAATTACAATGAAAGGTATTTAATTTTAAAGAGTGTTACAGTATTCAAGTTTAAATTAAGAACTTCAATCACCATGAACAGTTTATCACTATAGGTGATTTGACGGGGTCAACTTTTCCATTTCCTTACTAGTAAAAATAGTGATACTATTTATCTACCTTTCTATGAAATAGTCCCAAAAGCATCTTGAGATCAAGTCATTAGAAACCAATACATGATAAAAAGGGAGGATATACACACATACTCATTTAAGGCAGCTTTTCAGGGGGTAGGGAAGGATCCAACAGGAATACTAAGTAATTTGGCTTTGTCATTTTCATTCATTCTCTTGGGCCTTCAGCCTGTGAAGGCTAAAGGCACTTGAACTTGTATATTGTTTTGAAACTTTGTTTTGATTTCAAATATGGCAAATATCAATAGATATAACCCACATCAAAAGGTCTTTGTATACTTTAAGAGTATAAGGGACACTAAGATTTTTTAAGTTTGAGAACCACTGTTTTAAAAGAACTTGAGGTGGAACAGAACATATTTTGAGAATATTCACAACAGGGTTTACTATTATTTTAGTCACTTACTCTACATCAGATAAAAAAATGGGAATACTACAAATGAGCAAATAAAGGCATTTTCTTCTGTTGCATTAATTTTCATGAAATAACTCAAGAAAACATACTCAAGGCGTAATCATTCTTGAGATCGAGTGGCACAGAACTTGTTCCACTAGGGAACATATTTTGTGAAAGTTCTTAACTTCTGTAGAGTTACATTTTAGTTTTTGGCTGGCTGAAAAAGCTATGATAGCCAATCAAATCAAATTTTTGGTGAAAAATTCTAAGTATGAAACAGCAAAGACTACTGCTTAGGTTGTTTTCTAAAGTGTTATTTCTTTTAGAAAAGCAGAAATTTGCTCAACAGAGATTCTCAACATTTTTAACAGACATAAATTTACTGGTGTACAACTCTAGACCAAAGAGAACTACATATACCATTTAACAAGTTTAAACAAAGGTCTGTACCCTTGAGCCAGTTAGTTATAACTTTTTAGATCTAAAAGATAAGCAGTCTTAAACACCAGGTAAAATCCAGTGTCCAAACTAAGTTGGACTAAAGCCAAAACTTTTTAAGTTAAATAAGATAATTTTTCCTGTTTAGTGGCCCTTATATCAGAAATCACCAAACTATTTTAAAACTCCCCAGAAGTCACTATACTTCCACCCGCAAGTTTTAATGACAAGAAACATTTTTCATTTAACTATATAAAATTTTTCCCATGGCAATCTTGTCGGTTTGCAAAAAGTCTGCCAGAGATATTTTCTTTTTAAAACTTAGGTATTTAAGAAAAATGTAAACACTATAGAATTACTGAGAAAAATCAAAGGCTTCCTACTGCTTTTATGAGTTAGGGCTGCCATGCTAAAAAAAGCATCTGACCCTACTTCAAATGGACTGAGCAAAACTTGAGTCCTGATAAATCTAGCTTTTAGATTAGAATCTGAAGTTACTGAATACATTTGGCCCTCTCTTGCGCCCTCTTCTGGATTAATAAAACTTCCTCTTTATAGGCTTGTGGGTAATGTGCCATAAAAGCCCACCTCAGCACAATACAGATATATTCAAAAACCCTCACAAGTTTTCTTGGTAAATTAGCTTTATGCATGTTGAAGCAACAGTAATGTAACCAGGCCACAAATGAAAAGCTTCTCACCTCAAATTGTTTATGTTCTCTCAAAACCACTAAACCCAGTTTTCCCTATTTATACCCATCCAGGATAAGACAAACTAATTTGAAGGATGCCACCTTGTACGGTTCAGGGACTGCTTCTGTAAGTAAAGAGGAATCCTGTAGGAGGATATTAATACCTGATGAACAAAAGTAGATTTTCCAATCTGAAAAGTAATACTGCCTTATCGTCCAAGTAACCATAATCAGATTTTTCTCACCTTTAAGTTGAAAAACATTTAATGTTAAAAAAAATTCTAGTGTTGCATAGTTTCTAAATTTCTAAACTGTTCCAAATCCTTAGGATTAAACGCTCAACAAACACATTTATACGTTCATTTCTATTGCACACTATCAGTTCCTACCACCCCTCAAAATGGAAAATCTGACATTTCAATTTCAGTCTTCAAGTTACATTAAGTATCCAATAGAAAAGCAGTTTTTCTTCAGCTCTCAGTAACTGCTTATATCAAACTTGGCATGCTTGGTTTAATACTGATTTTCTAACCATTTCAGTTTATAAAGAACCCTTAATTTTTGTAAAAAAAAAAATCTGCCTGGTTATAAAGTTTAAAGTTCATTTCTTCTCAAATATTTTCTAAAACGACTTTTGCCCTCAATTTAACATTTGTTAAAAACAAGAGTTCGGGAGATTCATACTGGTTTTAAAACGGGAAAACATCTTCCCTTTTAAGGTGGAAAAAGCCTCGTCCCAAGCAAGATGGTAGTGCACCAACATCATGGATGAGCCACCTCGGTTCACCCCGTAAGGGCAAGAGGGGTCAAAAAACAAAAACAAAAAAAACCCTTGCCCTCTCACCCATCCAAACATTTGTTCTATCTCTCTCCTCAAAAACACTACCCAAGCACAGAAGGTAAATGTAGGGGGCAGGAGTTGGAAGGAGACAGAACAAGCTTTTTGTGTAAAAATGAGCTGCTAGAAGGAAAGGGCCCAAGTGAAAGCCTGAGAGGCGGAGTCGTGAGCGAACCTGGCAGGAGACGAGGTTCCTGTAGCAGAGAAACTCGTGACCGGGGGAGCCTGGTTCCCGCTGGGTACCCCACCCGGCCTTCAGGCACCGCCTCTACCCAAAATGTATCCCCCCGCCACCCCCCGCCAGGCCTCCTGCCCAGAGAAGCGCCGCGGCCACCGCCCGCGGCCTCCTTCTCCCTACACTCCTCTTGGAGGCCGGCTCCCCGCCCCGACCGCCCGCGCCTCCCGCCGCACTCGCGAGCGGGAAACACGGCCGCCGGCGCGCGGGGCCCGGCGCAGGCCGCTCCCCTCGTGGCCGCTTCCCTCCCCCACCCCAACCGCCCCCGCCCCTCACCCCAGGGACCCGCCCGGGGCCGCGCGGCCGCCACCGGGTTACACAACCCGGCCAGCGACGGGGGGAGGGGCGGCCGCGGGCCGGGGGCGGCGGCGCCCCCGCAGTGCGGGGGCCGAGATGACGCGGGTGGGGATCCCGAGCCACCAGGCTCGGCCGCAGCGTGCGCCCCTCGACACCCTTCCCCCTCCGCTCTTCAGTGGGCCGGAGTCGGTGACAGGAATCGGCTTCCAACATGGCGGACAGGAAGCGGCCCCGCGAGGAGAAGAGAACATTCCAGCCGCGCCGGCTCTGGGGGAGCGGGCCTGGGGCGCCGGCCTCGGGAGGAGCCAGGGGGACAGGCTGCGAGGTCCGGTGCCCCAAAGGGGCGTCTAGGGGTGGAAATGACCCGAGAGACGAGGGGTCCCCGCCGCCCCCCAGACGGGGAACCCCAAGGCCACAGGTGGGCTTGGGGTGGCGGGTGAGGGAGGACGCTTCCTCAGCTCTGCCCCCCTATACTCTCTCTTCGCCGCCTGCAAAAGGGTCTCGCGACGCCACCCGAGTCGAAATTCACTAGGCCTTCCCGAGTTACACCCCGAAGGACTTTGGGGCGGGCTAGGTTCACCCCAACCCAGGGCCCCCAAATTAGGGTCTCTCCAGCGCCACAGGAAGGTAAACGAGAAAGGGATCTAAGGCTGGACTTCCAAGGCCGACCCTCCGGGTTTCCCTCCAGCCCGGGTGGGGGCCGGGAAGGTCACACCGGCCTGGTTGGGCCTCTCCCATGCTGAGGGGAAGAGGGCGCTGCAAACCCCGAGGCCCAGCCCGAGCTTTCGGAGAATGAAAGGGGGCTTCCCCAGACCCGCAGGACACGGACACACACATACACACACACCCGGACCCCGACCGCGCTTTACCGATCCAGCCCCACCCCCATCTCCCCTACCCCCAACCTCGGTTCCCCTTCCCCCACTCGTCCTCCCTCCCGGACCTGTTTTCTTCTTCGGCGTTTCCTGGTGCTGCTGGAGGGCGTGTTTCTGCTCATGTTTCAGCGGCTTTGGCTGGGCCTTGGGGCTCCCCTCGGCTCCATGCTGCAGGTATTGGTGAGGCTGCTGGTGATGGTGATGGTGATGGTGGTTGTGGCTGTGGTTGTAGAAATAATAATGGTGGTGGTGGTGCGGCTGCTGTTGTTGCTGCTGCTGGGGGTGATGGTGCGGATGGTGGTGGCTGTGATGGTGCTGAGACTGTGGCTGGCCGGGCTTCTCCTCCATTGAAAGCGGCTGGGACTCTCTAGCTGAGGCTGCGGGCTGCTGCACCGTCAGGATCTGAGACTGCTTCTCAGGGCTCACTCAGTATATCTGAGCGCGTCTCGCCAGCGCACTGGTTAACCGAGCGATTCTGCGAGATTGGCAGCCGCACCCCAGCAATCAGGAGCCACGCTGCGCCTCAGGCCCCGCCCCTAGCCCAAATCCTCTTTCCTTCCCCTTCGCCACTGCCTCCTGGCCAACGCCACTTACCCTGAGCAACCTCACAGGGCCGGTCCTTCAACGTCAGCACTATGGCTCTCTCTTCTGTCGCTTTCTCTCCTTCACCGCGCAGTCAGCGAACAGCACTTTCTACACTCCTCGACCGCAAGCAAGCTCCTGTCGAGGATGGCAGATTCCACTGGCGATTCCACTGGCTCTGGGAGCCATCTGTTGGTTTTGCACCTCCTAGAATCTGTTGCCTTTTTTTTTTCTCCCTAAATCCTTTTCCGGGTAACCAGAGGGGAAGCTCAGTTCCCTTAACCCTGAGACCACTAAAGGGGGCAATATAAAAAGAAGAAATAAATACATTTTTAAGAATACAAGAGCTTCACAATCCAGTAGATCATTTTGTATTCTGGATTCATTTTGCTTTGTATTCATATGCTAATCTCTTCCTTTCCACGAAGGGATTATAGGGTTCCACAATGGGGTGTCTGTGTAATTTTCTAAAAGGGCACAAAGGGTTTAAATCATTGTTCCTTTGTAGTTGAAGGCAAGAGAGAGCGGGAGGAATGAAAATCTAAAATCCAAGTAGTTTTTTTTTATTTTAAACTCTGCAGGTGAGGTAAACTATGGAACCAAGATAGGTTTTAGAATATGAAGGGTTTGAAGAGAGAAAGAAGGGGAAAGAGCACTTTAAAAGTTATTTAAAAAATTTTTTTGCATGTATGAAAAATATTCGAAGTTAAATGCTCTATTGCATTTTGTAATACTGATTTAACTTATCCTGCATTATCACCTCACAGCCTGATTTTTTAATAGCAAATGTCAGGAGAGTGGTTAGGAAGGAAGGAAGAAAAGGATTGTGAAGGGGGCACAGGGGTGCACTATGATCATATTTTATTTCCTAACCTAGATGGTGATTACACATATATTTGCTTTATAATTATTTCTTAAACTGAATATGTATGTATACATTTTTCTCAGTATATGTTACACTGGGGACATTTTTGAAAAATTTACCATAAAATTTACCATTTTAAATCATTTTTAAATAAACAGTTCAGTGTCAGTAAGTATATTCACATTGTTGTGCAACCATCACCACTGTCCATTTCCAGAACTTTTCATCATCAGAAACTGAAACTCTGTACCCATTAAACAATAGCTCCCCACCCCCTCCTGCTCCCATGCCCTGGTAAACATTTTATTTTCTGTCTCTGTGATACTTCATACAAGTGGTATCAGAATATTTGTCCTTTTGTGTCTGGCTTATTTCACTTAGCATAATGTCTTCGAGGTTCATCCATGTAGTGGTATGTATCAGAATTTCCTTTCTTTTTAAGGTTGAATAATATTCCATTGTATGCATATGCCATGTTTTGTTTATCCATTCATTAGGCAATGGACTTCTGGATTGCTTCCTCAGTGCACGTGATGGTTGACAATTTTTAAAATGTGGCTTGAATTCTACAGCAGGACAATGTTAAAGGAACAAAGAAGCATGAACGGGAAAGTTTGTTCTTTGAAGTTAATGAATATCAGCACAAAAGCATAATTAAAGGTAAAAGCCTTTTTCCGACAGTAAATGTCACTGAATGCAGACAACCGTGTCCAGACTTTGACTTGTTTTTTATAGTGAGGATTTGCACTGCCTTACTAAATTTTAAAGAAAGACCCCTTTGGGTGGAGGGGGAGTACATTTACCCAATTTTGAGAGCTAAAACCCCAATAAAAACGTATTGTGGCAAATAAGTCTTTGCCATTGAATAGTACTGCACCACTTTCCCATCTATTAAATAAAAGTGTTTATGGAGTTTAAGATTATGTTGATAGGGCTTTATATTCTATTACTGATGTGGACATTTGGTTGGAAATCAAGAATTCCTGAGTCATAACTTCTCTTTCTACATTTTCTACATTATAGTTGAAGGCTAAGCAAAAGCACTTGCTCTGAGTTTCTGACTTTTCACACTTTAGCCTGCCTTAGTTTCTTCACCCACAGTTATAGGAAATTTAGGACACTAAACCTCACTCTCAGACGCTCTAGTTACTGTGGTTCTTTTGTTTGTTGGGGGGGGAGGTAATAGGTTTATTTATTTATTTTTAATGGAGGTAATGGGGATTGAACCCAGGACTTCATGCATGCTAGGCATACCCTCCCACCTCAGATGCTCTAATTACTACGAATGTTGCTGTAGTAGTATGTAGTAGTATGGAGAAAGGCTTGTGATATAGTGTAAGAAAAAAGTGCAGAATATTAAATTCTATGTACAAGATAATAACCTTTAAAAACATGAATTTTAAAAAATACATATGGAAATACAACAGTAGAATATGTACCTTTTTTTGACCTAATTTTTCTAAAATAGTTTTAGGTAAAATATATTTTGAGATTTGCCATGTATTTGAAAATACTAATACTATAATACCAAACCTCTTTGAAAAGAGAATAATCGGGTCTACTTATTTCAAGCATATTTTTATAAAATGAAATCTGTATTCAGGCAGAAAACACAGAAAGGAAACACAGAGTAAGTCTGGAGAAATTTTCTCTTCTCTGTTTTCCAAATGTTCTGTTATATAGCTATTACTTTTCATAGTCAAATTATTGTTTTAAATTAAAATAATAAAAAATTGAATCTGCACAATCCTTTGAAACTCATTTTACACGGTGTTTTACCTACAGTCAATGTGGGAAGTTATAATAGAGAGACAGGAAATTCCCATATAAGGTAGGTTAATGTTTTAGCTATCACTGTAATCATAATACCTAATATTTATTTAGCATTTACAATGTGTCAGGAACTGTACCAAGTATTTTGTCTTTATTTCCATTTGCAATTCTTTGAGGTAGATATTAAGCCCATTCTACAGATGAGGGATTTGCCTGAAGAAATTGAGACTTGCTTATAATTTAAAAGCCACAAAGTTAATAGTGAGGCCTGAAGTAGATTCCAGGTCTACTGGAGAGAAAGAATTTCAAACAGTATCAAAGTGTGATATACATTTCCAAAATTTTAGTAAACCTCTCTAAAAAAACATTCAAACTATATCATAGCCACCTTGAAGATGGTATCTGGTTATCAGCAGAGGCAGATGTGCTATGAAGCTAATGAAGATTCAGGGCCCCTCAATGCACAGGCCCCTCCAAGGGCTCCTGGAGGAGCCCTGAAAATGGTCTCTTGAAAGAACTAGATATTTTTTCATTATTTTGTAAAATTTTAAGAAGCATTTTTGTATTTTCCCTTAATGAGGGCCCCCCAAAACCTGAATTCACCCCTGTTAACAGTCATTTTTAATAGTCATTTGGGAATCTGACTTAGAAGTGTTGTAACTTCAATAGTACTTTAAAAGCTTACAGTCATATTTTATAACAACATGGAAAAATGTTACACTATAAATCAAGTGAAAAAGCAAAATAGTAAATTATATGAATATATTATGATTGCATATAAAATATGAATTCAAGGAATGTGAGGGAACTTGAAAATGAACTTGATTCATAATCATTTTACAGTGTTGTGTCAAATTCCAGTGTTCAGCATGTTCAGCACAATTTTTCAGTCATTCATGGACATATACACACTCATTGTCACATTTTTTTCTCTGTGATTTATCATAACATTTTGTGTATATTTCCCTGTGCTATACAGTGTAATCTTGTTTATCTATTCTACAATTTTGAAAT